TATTGTAGTATCCTCAATTTTGACTCTGTGGGAATCCTGTGGATTTTTTCTTTATTGTATTTTGCCCACGTTTTAGACCAACACAAATTTTCTGTAACTGCTTCTTGATGTAAAGTGGGGAATAAGGGAATAAACATTTATTAAGTGCCTAGGATGTGTGCCAGGCTCTGTGCTAATCCCTCAGTGTAATCTCATTTGAACCACCTAACAACGATGGGATGTAGGTGCTATAATCATCCCAATTTTCCAATTGAGAAAACTGAGGCAGACAGAGGTTCAATGTCTTGACCAGGGCCACAGTTAATAAGTATCTCAGGTCAAATTTGATCTCAGGCCTGCCTGCCTTTGGGCCCAGTGCTCTCTCTATGGTACCACCAGCTGCCTGTAAATTCTCTGGGTGTGCTAAATCCTAAGTGTGCTGTGATATAATCCATCCTCTAGGTATGGCACGAGGATCTGTGGGTCTCCATAATCCAGTGATTTTTTTTGAGCCTGCATTTCCAGCTGCTTTGCATTGTGGACAACCTCTCTACCCCCTTTTTAGTGTTAGCCAAATTAAGCAATCTATAGTGTGTTCCTTAGGGCCTTTCTCTCCCAACACCTATTGGAACAAACAAGGTGGGTCCCCAGGGCTCAGCTGCTACTTCTACCCTCAAAGCTCTTGGACTAGTCCCGAGAGGTATCTTTTCTAGTACTATTGTTCAGGGGTCTATCACTATGCTTCCTCTGTTGATGATCAGTGAAAATCAATGAGTTAGTTAGATCTAATTAGCTTTTAGAAAGGGCTTTTTACTTAAGTGGTTTGGTAAGAATAGTTGATGCAAAAATTTCCTTCTAGAAGTCTCTGACACACTTTTCTGCTAATACCTACAGAGTCCAGGGGGAAAGTGGGCTCAAGCTTAGGGAATGACTGTGGCAAATGAGTAAATTCACAACTCCTGATCTAGGAAGTTCTATTGCTGGGGTCTTCAAGTTGTTCCCTGTAATTCAATGCAGTTTTTCTGTTGGGCTCCTTGCAGAATCTTGAACCTACCTTTTCTTATCATGTCTAGTCAGTCTTCACTATCCAATAGGTCCTTGACTCCCAAATACAGACATCACAACCAGTTGCCAGTATTTTGGAGACACTGCTAGGACATCAATGAAAAAGTTCAATTTTTCTGTACCTCTGAAGGGCCTTCTCTGGTCAAGGTGGGCATCAGGAGACCAAGGTGCTCTTTCCTCTTCCATTCTTCTCAGTAATTTCTGCTGAGGCCTGGGGAACAGAAGAAAATAAGCATTTATTAACTCCTACTATGTACCAGGCACTGGGCTGGCACTTTACAAAAGCTATCTCATTTGACCTTGAGCTGGAAAGCTTCTACTCTAAATTACTAGAGCCTTGAATCACCTGGGTTCTAGACTGGCTTACTAATTATACATCACCCTCAGGATGTGATCAAGCAGTTTACAGGATTGTAAAGTGCTTATTCAGTTTCATTTATAATCTGAACCTACTTCTTGTACAAGATCATTCAGTTCATTCAGTGGCTCACCAGGTTCTAATCTACATTAATTAAGGATTTTTTTTAACATTTAGTTTGAGGCCTATGATTTGATTTAATGGAGATATGTTCTCACCTGATTAAAGCATATTATCTCTTATTTTAAGTTTGTGAGGTGTGATTTGATTGATTGATTCACTGAAGCCTACCCCATCAACACCCAACTTTTCAAATCAATTAATAAACATTTACTAAACATTTATTATGTGCTAAGTACTGTAGATGTAACGAAAAAGTGAATCTTTGGTTACTTTTTTGGGTTTTCAACAGTTTGGAGTAGATTCTTCCTGCTGGTTAGTTCCTTTCATTCATTAAAAAAACCATCTCAGAATCACAGACTCTGAGATCTGTGCTAGGATGAGGGACTTCAGAGGCACTTAGTTAAACTCACTCTTGACCAAGACTTGGAAAGCTTATACCTTCCAGAGCACCCTATTTCACTTTAAGGTAACTATTTGTTAAGAAGTTTTCTTTAAAGTGAACCAAAATCTTCCTTTTTGCATTAAGTTCCTTGTAGCAAAGTTTTGAATTAAAGATGCTTTAATTTAATTTTTGTTTGGTGGTGGTGCTGGGTAATCAGATATGGGAGCTTTACCCACACTTCTGGTGTTATTTCAATGGAGGAAATTGGATCTATGGGAAGGAAAATGGCTCAGAAGTCAGCTTTAGGGAACAGAACTCATTTCAATATTGGAGATAACCACATACCAAGTATTATTTCTAAATGATAACTGATACCCAACTTATTTCAAGCATTCTTTAATACAATTTGAGGACAGTGGAAGTTTTATAATTTCTTTTAAAAAGTTTGACTAGCATTTGATCCATTAGGGGAAGGGACAGGAATAGGGGCAGGGATAAGCATGTATATAGCACCTATGGTATGCCAGGCATTGTACTGAGTGATTTTCTCTTATTATCTCACCGGTATCTCATTCTCCCATTAGAGTAACATGAGTGGTGAGCAGGGGAGCTGTGCCAAAAGGCACTTGTAACTTATAGACATTTCACAAATTATACACATCTCAGCTTACTGAGGTCGTGTCTGGACCCTTTGGTCTCTTTTTTTCTGACAATTCTTCCACATCACTTCCCTAAGAAAAAGTGATCATCACAGCCACATCTTGACTTTTGCCTATTTCTTGTTTTTTTCAGAGTCAACAACTTCATTTTATTGGATCTCTTGGGAAGGCAGTGTCTTCTTATCTTTGTCCTTTATTCTAACTGGGTTTGTAAGTATAGGGAATCTACTAAATCAATCATAGATCAAGCAATGAATTCCACTGTCAAGGCTTGGCTGGACTTAAATGCCTAATACCAAACTACCTTGCTGGTTATATATAAGCCCACAAGGAGTCAACAAATGTCTCTTCAACTAATCTGTGATATATTTCTGGTGCAGACTTTTTGCACCTAGCATAAAGACTTTGATTCAATATTCTTACCTGGTTAAGGTAATAAGGGATCAGGGGGATTGCATGATTAATCCATCGCTTCCCCTCCCCCCCATCTTAATAGATATTATTTTTGTCTTTTGTTATCATCCGTTTTTTTTCTTATCTGTGAGAATGTCAATGCAATGTTTTTTCTGTGATGTTCATACTTGCCTTCCAACTGTCTTCTTAAAGTTCATGATTTACAGAAATTAAACTTTTGGATCCAGATAATTCTCCAAAAAAAAGTATGAATGAATCCTCTCTGATTTCTAGGAGCTTTAAAATGAGGTCACTGAATCCACTTATCTTATGCCTTCCAATTCTTACATTTGGCAGAATTGTTGTAGTTCAGTCATTTTTCAGTCATGTCCAACTCTCTGTGACCCAATTTGGAGTTTTCTTGGCAAAGTTATTGGAGGACTGGGCCATTTCCTTCTCCAGCTCATTTTACAGGTGAGGAACTGAAGCAAACAAGGTTAAGTGACTTACCCAGGGTCAAAAAACCAATAAGTGTCTGAGGACAGATTTGAACCAAATAAGATGAGTCTTCCTAACTCCAATAACAGCACTCTATCTGCTGTGTCACCTAGCTGCCTTTAGCAGAGTAGGCCCATGCAAAGAATGGTTATACTGCAGACCAGCATGCTCACTAGGGAAGGGAAAAAGAGAAAACCCACAAATAAGACTCGTGTCAAATTGAGATTTATTAAGTGATTTTTTACATAGGTTACCAAGGTCTCAGCAGGACTAGAGACATGAGGTGGGGGTGATAGGATCCTACAAGTTTGCATCCAGATCAGGGTGGAATAAATGGGACCCCTAAAGATGCCTGCCCAACTTCTCACTTTTGTATATGAAATGTCTCACATCTGACTTTTGTTGGGGATACTCTGTCAACTTTGGAGGCTTCTAGGGTGGTGGTGGGGAAGAAAATATTATCTTTTACCCTTCCTTCCAGATGTACATCTTATGATTTTTGAGCACATTAATCACTTGCTGGGACAAAGAAGGGAGAAGGATAGATGGGAAAAGAGTCTGACCCATTCTGTGACTGATTTAAAGTGTGTCCTTCTTAAGAAAAGACATGACTCTAAGGCCTTGAAGGATTTCTGAGAAAATCTCTCCTGTACAAGTTGTCATAAGATCAAAAAAGGAACAAACCTGTCAATCATGCCTGATTTTCTGATTTTCCAAAGAAGTTTCCAGATTATAAAGTGAATTGGTTTACCTTTGCAGAACCTCAGGATGCTAGGATGATAGACTGAGAATTAAGAAGGTGGCTTAGAGGCTATCGTATCCAACCCTCTTGTTTGATGCATACGTCTTGCCCTGGATGGGCTCTGTGTGGCTGCAGAGAGGGATGACTATTCTCTCACTGACTTCTGGTCCTATTCTGTAATCTACTACCTTATGAAGGAAGGAATATATATACATACATATATATATATATATATATACATATATATATATATGTATATATATATTCTGTTTATATATGTGTGTGTGTGTGTGTATATATATATATATATACACACACATATGCATATACATTTCTTTCACACATTGCCTGGTTCAGTGTTCATGGGTGAAATTTCCATATAAAAAAACAACCTTCAGAATGTGACTGAGAAGGAAACAGATGTTCAGAATGGAAGTGTTTGCCTCTTTCATATTTTCAATATCTGTATTTGTGTAATATGTGGGGAAATAAACCCTTTCAAACTTTGAGAGGCCAGATTAATAGAGAAAATGACCCTAAATTTATCTTCTTTTTAATTCTGGGTGTCCTAGGCTATGGAAACAGAGGAAACTGCTTTATTTTTGGCAAATAATTTCTATTTTTAAAAGTTTGAGACATAGAAGGAGGTGGTAAGAGAGAAGCAGAGATAGAGAAATGCACAAACACAGACACAGAGAAAGAGACAGACCCTTGCAGGCAGCTTCTGTTTTCCTCTCACTCTTCTGTTTTTATCTGGCTCAGATCTTTCTGTGATCAGTGGAGGCTGTGAAGATGGCAGGCATGGCTATACCCCAGGTACTGTCCTGATTTCTCAGTCTAATTGGTACCTTTCAGGTAACTTCACATGTGGAATTGAAATGGGCACCTTGGGGTAGAGGAGTAAGGATGGAGATGAAGTGGTTGGAGATGCCAAATAGAGCCTTAAATGTTAAAGGGAACTGTCAGGGGGTAGGCCTGTAAGGAGAAGGGGGTCCTGTGTGGCTATTGGTGAGAATGATGGGGATGTGGAGGGGGAGGCAGTCTTACTAATCGGTCTCTATAAAGGGCCTCTACTAGCCTTTGTCTTTTGCAGCAAGTTGCCTGCATTTCAAAGAGTCACCCTGGGAAATGTGATGAAAGGTGAGGAGGGGCCCCAGGCAGATGTGATACCCAACTTGATATGGGGGTGGTTTCATAAAAAGCAGAGAAGGTTTAGTGTCAGGTGGGTCCATTGGCGGCAGATTGACAGCCAGGGTTAGAAATAGAGAAGATGAGGGGTTTAGCCTGATGGTGGGAAGAACTTCCAGGGCAGAACTGAAGATTGGCCAGTCAACTCAGGGACAAGGGGTTGAGCCCAAGGAGCTGGCCATAACAAGCCTCTTAATATTCTGGGCAGTTCTGATATCAGTGTCCATTTTGGAATCTCAGAAGAAGAGAAGACAGCTGTGAAAAATCGGGGGGAGCATGTCTTGAAAGCCTTGAAGAGGTTGGGCCTTGATGTCAAAAAGGTATGGTGCCATGGAGGCCATGGTGGCCATGGTCTAGGCAGAACCTGGGACCATCTGGGTGCTCTGCAGAAGTGTCCCTGAACTGGGTACCTGGGATTTGCCTGACTCTTTACTGGACTCAATTCCAGCCTTTCCCCTCCCATTTCCTGCTTTATTGACCTCTGAAACACTGCCTTTCCAGGGTGTGGACCCTTCTGGTACCTTTATAGGCCCTCCTGCTCCCAGGAGTTAATCATTTACCTTTTCTCCTCCTTTCAATGGGAATTCAATCATCCTTTCTCCCCTTTTTCCTCAGGGTGTGAATCCCCACCTCCTCCTACCTCTTGGAATGTAACTTCCTCTAAACCTTACCCAACTATTCATTACCCAACACCTTCTGTTAACTCCCCTGATGTAATACTTCCTTTTCTCACCTCCCTTCCCAGGTATGAGCCCTGATAAGCCACTTTCACCCCTCTCTCTACTGTGCCTAGGGCCCTGTGGTTTCTGTGCTGGTCTCTGGTGGGGGCCTGAGGGCTGCCATAGCCTGCCAAGGTGTCCTTAGTGAACTGAGCCATGTGGGGCTTCTGGACATGGTCACATATCTTGCAGGAGTCTCTGGCTCCACCTGGTAAGAACCTCTCAGTGTGTGTGCTGTCTCTGGGGAGGGAATCCACGACACCACCTGGAGGAAAGAAATTGGGTTCACACCCAGGCTCTATGCTCCACAAAATCCCACTCCACAAATTCCCTGCTGTCTCCTGACCACACTTGCTCCATGCATAATGTTGAGCCTACCACCCAGCTGATATTGAAGGGGCTTCTGTGAGGACACAATGAATGACAAAGAACTTGGTGAAATTATAGAGTTTGAGAGGAAGAATGGGCTTTGTGGATTACAAAGCAGAGCTGTAGTATAGAGCACTTTGGAAACTGACTAGTTCTGTAATTAAGGCATTGGGCTAATTGTCAATAGGTTTTCAGAGTGAAGGGCCATCGAGGTCTTTGTGAACTGCTAAGAACTTGAAAGCCATAATAGAAGGGAGGAAGGAAGCAAGCATTTCTTGAGGAACTATTGTGTGCCAGGCACTGGGTGAAGCAGTTTTACAAATGCTATATTATTGGATCCTCACAGCAACCCTGAGAGGGAGGTACTATTATCCCCATTTTATAGTTGAAGAAACTGAGGCAGGCAGAGGTGGAGTCACTTGCTTCTTGACTCCAGGGCTGGTGCTATGTGCACTAGGGTGTCTCCTAGTGGCCTAATGGCTTTGTAGGTGGCCAGATCTTTCACCAGCCAGGCTCACAGATGCTTTACTCATCCTCAGGTGCATGTCCTCCCTCTTCACCCAGAGCGATGGGTGGAAAGACCTGGGGAAGATGGAAAATGAGCTCAGGAGGCGGCTGCAGGAGGACTCCTGGATATTCTCTGTTGCCCTGGATCAGCTCTGTGTGGCTGCAGAGAGGGATGACTATTCCCTCACTGACTTCTGGTCCTATTCTGCTGTCTACTACCTTACAAAGGAAGTAAGCTCTCCAATGGAACCCAGGGAAGCTGGGATCAGGGAAAGGTTTCAACTCAGGGTGAAGGTGTTTGCATTCCATACTCCTGCCGGTTACTACCCCAGCCCAGGCCTCCTGTTTGCTGGTCAATCAACTAGTATTACAATGTGCCACTTACTGTGCTAATCGTTAGGGCACTGTGGGTAACCTCATGTTAACTTATTGGTGGTGAGGCAGGGAGGATCCCTTCCATCCCGAAGGTGTCAAAAGTGCCCTAGTTTTAGAGTCAGGAGACTTGGGTTCAAATTCTGTCCCTGCTGCTGATTCTCTGTGGATCCTTGGGCAAATGACTTTCTCTGGACCTCAGTTTTCTTACTTAAAAATGACATGGTTGGAGTAGCAATCATGTTTTGAGATCCTTTTCAGCTGGAAACCCTGTGAATTGGTAACCTCTTGGCACCTCCTAGCTCCATGGGGGACGCAACTCCCTGAATCCTTTTCCATTTCTCTGTACTGAAATCTCTTCCTCTTAACCCAATCAGCTTCTAGGTGGCCGTCTGTCCCATGCAAGAGAACAGTCTGAGATGGGGACTGTGCCATATCCCATATTCGCCAGCATCAGCAAGGACCTCAACTCCAGTGGAAAGGAGGAGAATCTGAGTGAGCATGGTCCTGGTATCTCCCCTGGAGGAGACTTAGGATGGGGTGGCAAGATATCTGTCCAAAAAACCTGTTTTGGGCAGTGACGTCAGGCAGCGTATGGCCAGGGTCACTGTCCTAGGAAGGTCTACGTAGCCCATGGAGCCGAGATCTTTTGTGGAAAAGTTTGCAGAGTCTTCACAGAATTTCAGAGTTGGAGGGGATCTCAGTGACCATCTAGTCAAACTCATAACAGAACAAGAATCCCCACTTCACCATTCCTGACCAGTGGATACATTCCCGTGCTTGACATGCAAAGCCTTTCACCGCCTGGCCACCTTTCTACTTTGTCAGTCTTCCCATACTTAGCTCTTCTCCACATACTCTACAATCCAGCTACATTAGCCATCGAAAACATGCACATCTTTGTTAGACAAACTGCTGTTTGACAATGTGTGGCTCCTACTCATCTTGTATTTGAGAAGTTGCCTTTTGAATCTCAAGTATAGGGCTTGGCATCTCTATTGAATTTCGTCTTAAATTTAGCACAATAATTTAGTAGGTAGCCTGCTAAAAGTTTCTGGGATCCTGACTTGGTTGTCTATTATGCTGACTGGCCATCCGTCCCATGTTTATGATATAGCTAAATTTGATGAGAAGGTCATCTATGCGTTTTTTCAAATAATTAATAGAAATGTCAAAATAAACCTATTTTCATAAATTACTCTTTGAATCTGTCCATACAAACAACACTGAATTTCTAAACTATGTTATCATCTAGGGCACATATCTCCATCTTTTCCCCAAGAATATTTTTGTCAAGTGATTTGCTAAAGTCTAGGCAAACTTATTTAAAACATTCCCAGGATCTGCTAGTTTAATGACCTGTTCAAAGGGATTGAGGTTAGTTTGGCATGACCTGTTCTTGGTACAGTTGTATGCCCTTGTCATCACTTCTTCCCTCTTTAGATCTGTTAGCTATTGCTAACATTATTATTATTATTATCCTTCTCCTCTTCCTCCTTCTCCTTCATCTCTTTATTTATACATTGTAGCATTTCCCCAGAATCAAAGTTGAACTCTCTGGCCTATAAATAGTTTACAGCTTATTCCTTGCATCCCTCCCCTTTTCTAAACTTCAGGGAACATTTACAGTTCTCTAGTCCTGTGGCCCGTATTCTCTACAGTCTTTATAAGATCACTGAGAGGACCTCAGCCATCCAATGCAACAGTGTTTCTCATCTGGGCCAGGAGACTTGAATTCAGTAAGTTCAGCAAGGTGTTAACTTACTACCTCTTTACATATGTTGAGTAGCAACACTCTGTTAGACATTTTCATTTTGTCTTTTATAGTGCAAAAATATCTTGCTTTGAGAGAGAAAATAGAAGGAAAATAAATGAGCATCCCTGCTTTCTCTCTGTTGTCAACTCTCATTGTGCCATACACCCATAGCCAGTAGCCCTACCATTTTTTGATTTTCCTCTTTCCCCAACATAGCTCCCAACTTCCTTTTTTCATCTTTGGGCTCCCTTGCCAGCCTCTGTTCATTCTGAGGTTTGACAGCTGATACAGTTCTTACAGACTGTTCCATGACTTTATATTCATCTTCTGCTGCACGTCTCTGCTTCTATCTGCTGCAAATATATTTTACAAAACTAGGTACATAAGTGAGTTCCTTGTGCATCCATGGTGGTCTCTTCAGATGGTTTGTGTTATTCCTCCTCATCAAAATTGTTTCCTTTTCTCTTCAGAATTACATCCCTGAGAAATCCCCATGGTTCCAGGGCTGACCTCCTCTTTAGCATTTTAGTCTGTGGGTCCTACACATCTTTCCTCAGAACTCTCAGAGATTTGCTTTCCACAAATCAGGTGTGCATGTTGGAGTACGCCCAGGGTATCTCAATTGCTGTTCTTCATTATAGCTACTCTTTTGGGTATCTAGCTTGGAGGATCTATTATATACACATATATATGTATATGTAGATAGGTAAATAGATAGATAGCCAGTTTTCTCCCTCCCCCATCATTTTCTGTGGAGAGCCTTTTTGATTATATTTACAAGACACTGGAAAATACATCCTTCTCAGCATTTTTAAGGTATATTTTATCCCCAGCCAGTAGCCAGTCATTCCTCTATTAATTCATGGTCCAGAAATCCAAATTTCATTCTCAAATATTAAATTTGTCAGTTGTTCATTTCTCTGCTCAGTTTTTCTCATTTGTACCTCTAGTCAATAGACAGGAAGAAGAAAAACTCCCCATTTGCCCCTGTGGTCTTTAGTTTTTATCCCCCACAAGGCTTTGCAACATTTGGCTATACTTTTTTAGATTTCATCTGGCCATAGTATTTGTGCTTGGATTGCTGGAAGTTGGTGGTGGTAATCCATTTTGACGAATCTGGTTCAGTTGTCTGTTATGCATCAGATACATACTCGAAGAAGACAACTGACCTCTCTATTTTTATGAGGTCAACACACAGCTGATTGAGTAGGTCTCAGCTGAGAGACACTGAACAGCTTCTGCTCCTTGGTATTTCCCCCTAATCATTACTGAGTGATTTCACCTGATAGATATTGTGGCTCTACCTTAACATTTCTCAGAGAATATACAGCTTCTTCTTCACCAAACGTACATTTAGCTCCACCCTCTTTGCAACTTTGTTGTTGAGGTTTCAAATGTACAATGGCAGCCTTTCCCTTCCTCATCTTTGTGACATTCTTCCATTCTCCAACTTACTTACATAGGTCAAGTTTTCCCTCTGCTTCTTCACATTTTTCTTAAACTTTTTTATTTTCACATTGAAGCCCCACTTCCATTTTGTAAAGAATAACTTCATTTCCCATCATAATGTGGAACATAGAGATGAATTATTTGAACCTCTTTACCACTGCATCATGTTTTGTTCTGTGTACCATGATTTAAGAGGGACATTGATAAGATGGTGAGTACCCAGAGGAGGGCAACCAGGTTGGTGAAGGGTGTAAAATTCACGACATCTGAGGATTAGTTGAAAGACCTGGGAATGTTTAGTCTGAAGAAAAGACTTAGGGGTACATGACAGCTGCCTTCAGATATACGGATGGTTGTCTTGTGGAGGAGGGGTTAGATTTGTTGTACTTCATCTCAGATGGCCATGGGAGGAATTTACAAGGAGACTGATTTAGCCTTGATGTCATGAAAACCCCCCCATCATTTGAAGTATTTTAAAGCAGAGTTGCCTCCCTCCTGCCATGGTGCCTTCCTTGGTGGCCTCCCTGCAGAGGAGGCACCTTCCTTGGTGGCCTCTCTGCTGAGGTGGTGCCTTCCTTCTCCTTAGAGCTATCCCAGCAGACCCTGGATGGCCAGTTGTCAGGTACGTGAGGGAATTAGGGTTAGTGTGAGTGGATATTGGATTATTTGGCTACTGAGGTTCCTTCTAACTCTCAAGGTATGTTGTGCTATTATTCTTCTCTCCTGGGAAGGAGAGCAGCCCGTATTTTGCACATAGAAAGCAGTCACATGACTGTGGCAGAAATATAAACATCCCATACTCATTGCAGTTCATTATAATAACTTTCCTGTTCTCCATGCTTGTGGAGATCCTCAGCCTCTTTTAAAACATTACTTTTTGGTGTTTGCAAATTGTTTCTCCAGTACCTTTTTAAATGAATAACGGGGCAATCCTGACTGACCAATCTGGTTTTCTCCCACTGGGTTTGGTCCAGTCTCCTATCCTGATTATTTCCAACTAGTTGGTGCCAGGGAGTCACTAGGAAGAGACTTATATAGTGAGTAGATCTCTCTGGGAAAAGCACATGATAGGGAACATGAAATGGGAACATGTTTTAGTGTGAATATAGTTGGATATAAAGCCCCAGGGTGGTGTGAGTCCATCCTTGTGAAAACCCCAGACAATGGTATGAATTTTTCTTTTCCTGTTGTGATTCCTACCCTGGTGCAAATACTCATCAAAGCCACATTTTTGTAATCTTCCCAGATGCCTGGTTTGAATTCACTCCTGACTGGGCTGGCTACTCCACACCTGGCTACTCAACCCCTGGTGCTTATGTCTCTACCACTCAGTATGGGAGCAAGTTTGAGGGAGGGAAGCTCATACAACAACAACCTGAAAGGGATTTCTCCTACCTGCGAGGTAAGCACTGAATCTAGCCTCCAACAAGAGGCATAGCAACAGGAGCCATGGAGTTGTCCGCCCTTCACATGTTACTCTCACACCTTTGGCATCCAATTAGAATCTTGGTTCCCAGAGGTTCCTCACCTTTGGGATTCCATGAGAGAATGGGGGCAGCTTGAAAAGTCTCTGCAGAACTGTCTGAGATTACTTGCTGATGTGAACCCCAAGATGAAACCTTGTTAGCTCTTTATATAATTTGGTACTCAGCTGTGCAATATTCTTAGTTTCCATGTCCCTAGTGGTGACTTGGGTATCTGTAGTCTCTGATAATCTGAAGGGGCAGGAGCATGGCAAACAGATAGAGCAGTGTTCTTTTGGTACTCAGAGATACAAAGTGACAAATGAGAACCCAGCCTTCAGTTACTTTCTGTGATCTTCTCCTCCTCTTCTTCTCTACAGCACTATGGGGCAGTGCTCTGGCTGACATGCATAGTATTCTCAAAACCATCTGGGGTAAGTGTGAGAAACAGGTTTTCATCAGGGTTCAGAGAAGGACGGAAGGGGAACAAGGTGGGGTTTGGGGCCAAGATGGGCATTTCTCTTAACCCCCAGTGAAAGAATATACATCCTCCTTGTAGATTTCTTTGGGAAATTTATCCATGGTTCAAGCATCCAGGAAGAAATGCTCCTTGCTGATCCTGAAGGTAAGGGCCTGAACTTGGATCTTCTCATGCCTTGGGATGGGCTTGGCCCTGGGTGTCAAGGGGCAGGTTTTTTTGAGGCAGTCAGGGTTAAGTTATTTGCCCAGAGTCAGACAGCTAGTAAGTATCTGAGGTCAGATTTCAACTCAGGTCCTCCTGACTGCAGGGTTGGTGCTCTATCCACTGTGCTAGCTAGCTGACCCAAGGATCAGTTTTAAGAAGGTCATATTGGGTGATTGTGGCCACATAAATATACTTATCTTGCTTGAAGCTTTCATGAGCTGAATTATGTGGACTGGAGTCAGTGGCTCTTGAATTATACCTGCCTGCTCTACCCTTGTATTCAGTGGGAGCCATGCTCCCTAACTATATTCATTGTTTCATCCCTTTGAAATTCAGTAGGTCAACTTGTGAAATGATCTTAGGGAAACCTAGTCAACTCCCTTAGGTTTACAGGGAACCAGAGAGAAAATGGGATAATTGACTCTTAAATATGAAGCATTTACTAAATAATAAGGCAAAAGCAAAAGTAACCATAACATTTACTCAGTAGTAGCCAAGAACAGTCATAATGGAAAAGTTACAGTCCTCCCATGAACCTGGGTCACACTCCCACTAATGAACAGTGTCCCTAAAGGAGAGAAAAGGTGTCTGGATTGGACACACACTTACTGGAGTCAAGCAGTAAGTCAAATAGAGAAGCCCATATGCCTGGGGCAACAAATGCCTCTGGAATAGTCTTCAGAATTGTTGGTCTCTTTGGTATGCACTATGCATCACTTGGTGGGCAAAATCAGTTTTCAGCTAGTTGCTCTCCTGTTGAGCAAAGGCACTTGATTGCTATGCTTGGACTACTGAAGCAGTGTCAAGTTCTTTTCATAGCTGCCAGTGGCAAGGCAATCATAAAGTGTTGAGCTCTTTCAGCAAAATATAATATTATGCTCTTGTGGTGAAAAGCAGTTCCATTGAGTCTGGAATCATCCAACGTAATCAGATCTGTTCTCTATGAGCTATGAGAAGTTCTCCCTTCTCAAACTACAAAAGGCAGTAAAAGAGTAACAAACTTTCAGGCACTCCTGAAAGGTTCCTGTCTCACAAGTCGCACTAGCTGACAATAAGCCTAACAACTCTTTCCATAGAGGGAGGCTCCTGACATTCTCCAACAACCTTCAGGTACCTACAAAGCTCTTCTCTAATCAAACAGCTACTGACTTCACTTGTAAAGTCTACCTGTCAGCCTTGCTTCATCCCCATCAGCTTCTATATTCTGTGTTTTGTCAGGTGCTTCTCTCTATGCCTTCTCTTCTCAGCTTCTGACTCTTCCTGTGCTCAGCCTCTCCTATCTTATTTTCTATATCTTTTGGTTTTCTTCATATCATTTATAATGCTTCAAATCAGGGCTTCCTTATAAATAGTGACATGTTTCTATCTTATGATGTAAATTAAAAAATTCCACTGTTCTGACAAGAATGACACTAATAGTCCTTATATAACTATTTCATGCATTCTTAACAGGTATTGGATTGGATTGCTAATTTCTACTTAAATCTTCAAATTGTTTACATAATCATCTGTAAATGAGTGGATAGAACACAATGCCCTGCAGTCTTCCCTATCTCAGTTGATGTGTCTTCCATCGGGACCTGTGGATAAATTTACATGAGAAACAGTTTTCTTTCACCTCTGTAGAACATCTGCATCTCTCCTCAATCATTTTTGGGAGGGTTGAGTTTCAAGTTCTTTTTGTCATTATCTTTCACATGAATCCTCTTTTTCTTCTCCCTCAAGCAACCAAAAAGGTCTCATAGTGAAGGGATCACACTTTATACATACACCACTTAGAGTAGTTGCCATGAAGTCAGTGAACTAGAGTAGTGCTGGAGCACTACCATGCTGGAGAACTAGAGATTCACTAGAATATATGAGTCTTACCCAATTGTCTCGAGACTCATAGTGACCCTGTTGTTTAGATGCCCATCTTGTCTGAAATTTTTTGAGGTGGATTATGTGGACAGGCTTCAATGGCTCTTGAATCATTCCTGACAGCATGACATTTTATTATCAGTGGGAACCATTCTTCTTAACTGTGTTCCTCATTTCATCCCTTTGAGATTCAATGCATCAATTTGTAAAATAGTTTTAGGATAACCCAGTCACTTCCCCTTGCTGTACAGGCAGTAAATGCCAAGGCAAACACGCTTTGTTGTCACTAGACAGGACAACCCCTTCACCTTTGCATCTGCACTGTCTGAAAACCATACTGACCACGACCCTGGGCATGGTATTCTAGGCAACTCTCTTGGGCTTTAAATTGCTGAGGACATGAGATCCTGCATTGTAAAAGGGAATTTTCCTCTCCTGGAAACTACCTGTACCAATAAAATTGCAAATTTAGTCCTTATCCATATATTTATTTTGTATATCATTATATATGTATGGGTGGTCACCTCTGGGAAAGTATAAACATCTTGACAGTAAGGATTCCTTTATTTTTTTCATTTATAAAGCCAGTAACTAGAACACAGTAGGCTCTTCCTATGTGCTTGCTTGCTTGAATGGTTGATTTCAAATACTTGAAGACAGACATCATAACCATCCTTCTCTTCTATTGTATTTCTTTCTACTTGAGGAAATGAAAAGAATTGAGCTGTGACATAGCAATTCATTCAGCCATCTTTATGATTTTAAAAACAGTAATAACAATAATAATTATCACTCCTATATTCACAGTGCTTTAAGGCCTACACATCACTCTCCCCAACAGACTACTGTTACACAAGTAGGAATTGCCAGATGTAGAATTCAATTTCAGTTCATGGCGTTCTTTCTACTAAATTTGCTGCTATCCAGCAAGGGAGATTTAGGGTGATTCTAAAGAAGAGTTTGCTTATAAGATGATCAATTTAGGTGAACAAAGGAGGTTCTGGATTCCTCCTCTCTAAGGATCTTGGTGTTGATATAGCTTCTGAAGATGGCTTAAGTGCTAAGATTATTAATTCCTAGTACCTTCTAGCTTGGACCATTAGACATCTACCTGTGAACAGATAATTTCTTACCTTTCTCAGCCTCCTACCTGAAGAGAGGGTTCTCCACTTCTCAGCCACCTCTGCTTGGCCCCTGGGGCCTGGGGAATTCAGAATAAAGGGGCATTATTTATATTGTGACTTTTCTTATCAGGAGTTACCTTGAAAATCACTGTGAATCACCTATTCAACTTGGTTTACACTTTCCTAACAGAGGGAGACTGTCTGCCCACCCTGAAAAATCTGCAGGTTATAATGACAGGTAAGAAGGGATGGTGGTAGTTCCTGTAAGGGATTCAATACCATGGAAAGAGCCCCTCCCTTGAGCAGAATGTCATAGCATGTCAAAGCTATAATGACCTTTAGCCTTATTTTTCAGAAAAGGCACCTGAGGGATTTGTTTGATCCCACAAAGGGTTAGGGGCAGAGCTGGGAGGTGAACCATGTTCTTCTGACTTGAAATCTAGGCTTCTTGCTACTACACAATGAGGGCTTAATCTTGAAATGTGTGTGTGTGTGTGTGTGTGTGTGTGTGTGTGTGTGTGTGTGTGTAGTGTCCTTTACTTAGGTCTCATCCTTTATTAACTCTACCTTCAGGAAGCCTTTGATGTGATGAATAAAACAAGACATCAACTTTTGGTCAGCTCCTAGTTTAAAAGAGAAGATGATTTTCACCTCTAAGAGTCTCTGATGTGAGGTTTAGACACAGTCCTGCCCTTGGGAGATCCCTTAGTCTGAGGGAAGAGCCATATCTGGGCCACTGAGACAGTCGTGGCTTGATAATGCAGACCTTCCTTCAGAGGGTCCCAAGTTTAAGGAAAGAGATTTGGCATCTGGCTGAGATAGGAAACATGGGTATAACTGCACTCAAGTGTAATGCTCTGTAACAATACCTATGCCAGTGAGATGTTTTAAGGAAGAGGGTAGTAGGAAGAAGGATTGCAACAGGGCTAAGGACAGATAAAAGAGGCTGACAGTATGGGCACAGAAGCAGAGATAGAGAATAATTTTTCAGTTTTGTTCTCAAAACTCTTGAAGACTTCCCAAACAGCCTCAGGTGCTATACCCTCCAAAAACATTTGACAAAATTTCCTGGGTGAAGATCCTGTGTGAGGCCTAGAGTGAGCTGGCCAAGGTGCCGACATAGCCAGTCAGGGTACATCAGGATGCTTCTGAAGTCCAGAAGGATGTGTTCATCGCTTTCCACACTTCTTGTCCTACCTTCTTCTGGACTAGCTGGATTCCTGGTCAAAGGGCTACAACACGGAGCTACTCAGTCAGTACATATGGAACCCTCAAAGTAGGTAGAGAATGATGCGACCTCTTTCTGGCCACAGGGAACAAATATTTTTCTGAGGCTATGACACTGATCAACCAGATGATTGAGAGCTGGGGCCAGACCTCTCGAGATCAGCAGGAACAGCTCATTCAGAGCTTGCTGGCAAAATCCTTGAATGAAGATTTGTTGAAACAGAGTGAGTGAACTTTGAAAATTTCCTACAGCTGCAGTTGTATCTTCTGGGGAGGAGGGGAATACCGGTCATCTCTCTAATGTTACATATCCAATGTGTTCCTTGGAGGCAGGTGAGGGCAGTAGGGAGTGGGATGCAATCAGCCAAAATTCTACAGGATATCATAGCTCAAGGGCCATCTGAGAATGCCTCTTCCAAACACCTTTTTTTTTTCATGGTAGTGAAACTAAGGCTTAGAGAGGGGCAAAGGTTGGCCCAAGTTCCAATCTTTAGCCTGAAATATCCCAGGATCACAAAATTGAGAGTTATAAAGGATCTTAGAGTTGATCTAGTGAAAAAAACTGAGGTCCATAGAGCTCGGGCAAGGTCACATATCCAGTAAGCACCACAGCCAGGTCTCAAACTCAGATTTAAGGGCTCTACTTTCTCTGCTTTTTCTATACAACTTATCTGGCTTTTTGATCCTTGCTTTTCCCAACACTGGACTTCTTTGATTCTGATTCTAATTTCTCTTCCTCTAGGCAGTGTGCCATCTTTCCTAAAATTTTTATGGAAGACCATCAACTGTCTTTTAAGATGGAAGTGGGGAACAACGCATAACTTTCTGTATAAGTATGGTAAGGGATTTTTAGGATAACAGTATTTGAGCAGGAAGGGACTGGAGTGATCATTCTTAGCCAATCTAGATCTGGGCAGCCATATAGCATCTCTGAGAAGTGGTTGTCCCCTTTCTGCTCTAAAACCTTCAGTGATAGGGATAAGATCCCAAGACAGCCCATTCTATGTTGGGACAAGTATCTTTGTTATGCTGTGTCATATCAGCATGTATTTAGTAAGCACTTGCCTTGTGCTGGGCACTGTGCTAAGCACTGGAGATACAAAGAAAGCAAAAAGCTCCATTCCTTGCCTTCTGGGAGTCTGCAGTTTAATTGTGAAGACAACATGCAAACAAGTATGTACAAACAAGATAGAGGAGAAATTGAGGGAAATCCAGAGAGGGATATCACTAATATTAAGGGGGACCAGGAAAGGCTTCTTTCAGAAAGTGAGACTTAGCTGAGACTTGAAGGAAATGAAGGAAGCCAGCAGGTAGAGGTGAGGAGGAAGAGTGTTACAAGCATGGGAGACAACCATAAAAATGCCTAGAGTCAAGAGATGGAGTGATATGTTGGGAAGGTTTTCCTCATATCTGGGTGAAATTTGCTGGCATAATATTTCCTCTTTTCCGTTGCTCCTAGTTCTGCCTTCTGGGACCAGGCAGATAATTAAATCAGCCTCTAACATATCCAACCTTCAGATATATGAAGACGGCATATCTTTCTCTATCCATCTCCTTTTTTCACCCCACCAGTGGTCATCCATGGAGCTCTTTTGGCGTGGGGGACCAGAAACGAAGTAAGAGAGTAGAGAGAGAAAGAAGAGGTGGGGAGTGTGAAGGGGATTTTGAGGGAGCATCCATAGAATGATTTTTGATTAGTGAATGGAAGAGAATGTGTCTCTAGTTGATGGTGGGTGAGGCCACAGCTAACCATAAAAATGAGTAGACTCACATCTCTGAGGTTTTGTTACTTTCTATTCAATGGCTCTTGTGATCCTGATTCAGGAATGAGTTGGGCCAGCTCCAGCTCTGAGATTCTGTGATTTTATGAGAGAGTCTCTTCTCTTTTTTTTTTTTTTTTCTGAGGAGACATTGAAGACAAGCTTCTCACAGAAAAGAAAAATGTGTATTTGATGGATGCTGGCTTCACTATCAACTCTGCCTATCCTCTGGTTCTGCCCCCAGTGCGGAACACTGATATCATCCTGTCCTTTGACTTCAGTGCAGGGGATCCATTTAAGGTAATGAGAAGGGCATTTTCAACTTCCAAAGACCGTAGTCAGAAGTAATCAAGGAAGAAAGAGCCCTTGGGATATGAGACCTGGTTCCTAATCCCCAACTCATGGTAGGACCTTCATCCATCCTTTTCTCTCTCAGCTTAGCCTCACTTTCCCTCTCTCGAAAGTGTAATTTTGGGAGGAGGCTTGAAAGTCTCTAGAGACCCTTCAGCCTCTGGAGACCTCAGGTGTAGTTACAATGTGTCTGTACCACCTCTCCACAGACGATCAAGGACACAGAGAAGTACTGCAAAGCCTGCAATATCCCCTTCCCTCTGGTGGATGATGCTAAGCTCGACCAAGAAGCCAAGGCTCCCTCTGATTTCTACATCTTTGAAGGGGAGAAGGCGCCAGTGGTCATGCACTTCCCACTTTTCAATAAAGTGAATTGTGGCAGCGAAGGTATGGGTTTGGGCTGCATGGCTACTGAGGTACCTTGCATTGTGTTGGTGGAGGTGGGGCTAAAGAGCATTGTGGTACTGGGTTCAAAGACCTTTCTGTCACCTGGAATGCTCACTGTAGGGTTGCAAGCAGAGCTTTGGTGAAGGTTGCTCACCTAGAAAAAGAAAGCTGTTACCAGCCTCCAGGTAGCCCTAAGGTGTGATCCCTACTTTTTGTAGTCCCCTCTACTTTAGTCCTGCCTGAAATGGGATAGTGTAACAGCCAGTGTTCTAAGGGCTTAAGTACCTGTGATCTGAATGGTGGTGGTGGAGGGATTTGTGACTTATATATATCCTCTAGGCAGAGTAGCTTGGTGAAGGGACTTGGGTTGACCTCAGTTTGGCCCAGGTGGTATTCATCACCTTCCACACATGTGGCAAGTCCTAGGTATGTTCTCAGGATTAGCATAGGGAATATACATACTTTCTGTGCTTAGAGAAACAGAGGTAGAGGTAACAGAAATAGAGAATCAAGGCACAGGATGGCAACCGCATGTTGTCAACACAAGGTTGAGCAGAGCAAAGATTTGTGGTGGTGCCCCCTCCCCACACTTTGGATTCTTAGAAGCAGGCATGGTTTAGAATCATTCATGGCTCTTCCACCTTTTTCTTGATCTAGCCAGGCTCTCCAAACTTTTCTGCCATTGCCAGCCAGACTTGCATCAATGCCCATCTTAGATCTATTGGCCATCCCCTTTAAGGGCCAGAAGAATTTAGTGTGAGATGGGGTAAGGGGCACTCTTAAGATGCTAGTGCATCTTATTAGGTCCGTATCTAAGAAGCAGCACAGCAGTGCCTGGCCTAGTTTCTTTGAGTCCTGTTTGATCCTAGGTAAGGTTGGGAAGAACTAGATCATATGCTGTGATTTCACACTATCCGAGAGATATGAGTCAAATCAAGTCAACTAGCATTTATCAAGAGGGTACGATAATAAGGCCTGTGGTCAACTAGATGGAGGCTCTTCATTTCAGGGGAGGGAAGAAAATGGGCACTGAGTCAGGAAAGTTCTGTCTCACGCTGTTTTCTCAGGTTTGCCTGTGGATCCCACTCAACTATGCAGGTTGGAGTTAATAGTCTGATGTGCCCCTCAATGCCCTCAGCAGCAGCCTGCAAGCCTTCTCCCCTTGCTTGGTGGCTTATTGATTAATCCGAAATAACTGCCAGCATCAGTTCTGTTTTCTAATTTAGTGAACCTGATAAGCTTTCAGTGGCTAATCCAGTATCCAACAGTGTCACCAGTTAAAAGTCAGAATAGCTACAGTCCCAATAGGCTGTTCCCTCCATAGTGAGTTCTACCACTTATAAACATTGTGAGCTATTCCACAGGCTCTGTCTAAATATTCTGAAGTTGGTAACTAATTACAATATTAGCGAATGCCCCATGGCTTTGTAGTGTTAACGCAGTCGGTTACCATCTGTGGACTGTCTCCCCTCTATATGCAGTAAACTCCTGCTACGTCTCTCCAAAACTTTTACCTGTTTCTCTTATTAGCTGCCCAGCCCCACTCCCTTCTCCCTCCTATATGGCACACCACAGACTTGCATCATATTGAACCAAACCTCCATGGGACAAATTTATAACAGCACAATTTCAAGTTTCCAAACATCCCACTTTTCATAGTTCAAAGACTTAGAAGTGGGAGGGACCTCAGAAGCCAGGTAGTTCTTATCTTACAAATGAGGAAACTAAGACCCTGAGAGTTTAAGTGACTTGCCATACCTACTTATTTGGCCCTAACATCTCTCTGGATTTCCAGTCTTCCCAATTGTCTATTAGGCATCTGTAACTCAACATGTCCAAAACTGAATCCTTTCCCCTAAACTCTTCTTCCTAACTTTCTGGTCACTGTCCATTGTAACCACCTTTCTCCCAATCACCCAGTCTCACAACCTAGGAGAGAAGACAATTAAATCCATGGGAAATCACCAAATAAAATAGTACAGAAGGAGAAGATAAGTGAGCTCAGGACAGAGCCCTGTAGGACACCGACAATTAGCAGCCATGACCTGTCTGAAGATTCAGCAAAGGAAACTGAGAATGAGCAGTTGGATAAGGAGGAAGAGATCTAGGAGAGAGTAGTATCACAAACACTTTAAGAGAAGAGAATATCAGGAGAAGAGGATGATTGATGGTAGCAAAAGGCTACAGAGAGATAAAGAAGGAATATAATTGGGAAAAGGAAATTATATTAAGCAATTAAAAGATTATTAGTAACTTTTGAGGGAGCTAAGCAGTAAAGGGAGGAGAGAAAGAGAGGGAGAGAAAGGCCTGGAAAAGTTGTAATGGTTCCTAAGATATCCCTAGTTCCATGTGAGAAGGCAAGCAGGATGGAGAGGTACATGGAAGCCACTTCCTGTGAGGGATGGTTGAAGGAGTGAAGCATTTGTAAGTAAGAAGGCTTTGGGAGGCTTCATCACTGTCATGAAGTATGTGAAGGGAAGGAGATGTTAAGGCATACTTTTTCTTCATCACTGGTGACTTTTTATTCAAGGTTAGATGATGACTTGTCAAGGATGTCAGAGGATAGAATTCTGTACAAGTATGTGAAAGGAAAGTCCCTTTGAGGTCTTTCCTGCTATGAGATTCTGTGGGTGCCTGTTCTTAGAGTTGCTTTGATGACAGGGTTCCAGAGCTAACTCTCTTCTAATGAGGAGGGCACAATCCAGAAAGGGCTGCTTGGTAACATCATGGTTTCTCTCTCTCTCTCTCTCTCTCTCTCTCTCTCTCTCTCTCTCTCTCTCTCTCTCTCTCTTTCTCTCTCTCTTCCTTCCCTCCCTCCCTCTCTCTCTCTCTCTCTCTCTCTCTCTCTCTCTCTCTCTCTCTCTCTCTCTCTCTCTCAGAGGTCATTAAACAGAGACACAAGACATACCCGACATTCCGCGTCACAAACTATTCCGATGATGAGGTGCGTCAACTCCTGGAGGACTCGAAGGCAAATGTCAGGAACAATAAGGATTGTATCTTCATGAAGATCTGTGAACTGGCAGAGCCAACCTCCTAAGAATCAGCCTCACTAACTTCTCCCCTCACAGAGCACACACATGCTGGGACTGGCTTCTATTCTCTGGCAGCAGCTGCCATTCTTTCTGTCTCTTTGGGAGGGGCATTCATTCACCTTTTCAGTTAAATGCTTCAAGTGGCTGACTTTTGTTTTAAGGGCCCAATATTTTGCTTTGTACCCTTCATGCAACTTGCCCACATTCTACTTACCCTTTCCCAGACCCAATAAAATATTGCTTTGACTCCCAGGAATCTTTTGTGACATAATGAAAAGCTGGATAGTGTTTCTGAGTAATTAATAATCTATTAGTCTAGCTGCTAATCAATAATTGATGGTCAGTGGTTTCTCTTGGTAACCAGATACCTGATGGAGACACTGAATGACTTAATATACTTTTAGAAAAGGAGATGCACCTGATGGGTGAATTGGTGAACAACTTGTGAATGATTAATGAGGGGGCTGATTTTCAAATGAGGAGATGGGCTGAGAATGTGGCTTGATCATGAGATTCAGTGGCCTCCATCAATCTGGACAAAGGACTCCATCCAGAGCTAGGTTACCCTAAATTCCAATGAGGTGTTGCTGCTAGGACCATGGGCTTGATGCTTTAGGGTAGAATTCACCTAGGTTAGATTCTGTTCACGTTCTAAACAGAAGTAAGGTCTTCTGGTTGGGTGGGGTCTTGCCCCAGATTGAGGAGCATGTTCCTTGAGGATTTGGGCAATCTCATCTATCAGCAATGTCCTTCAGAGACTGACTGACTGACCAATAAGGGCTGGTTCTTGAATGAGGAAAAAAGGGAAAAAAACCTTAAATTGAATTTAATAATTGGTTATTAAGATAATCAAAAATAATTTCAGCTGGACATTAAAGAAAATCCCAGAGAAAAAAATTCTGGTACCAGATGGATTTAAAAGTGAATTCTATCAAACAATCAATAATTCCAATATATTATAAATTGTTTGTGAAATAGAGAAAGAAAAGATCTTCCCAAACACTTTCTATGAGGCAAACATGGTCTTGATACTTAAATTAGGGAGCAAGAAAGTAGAGAGATGAAACTGTAGATCACTATCTGTAATGGATATTGATTTAAAATTATTGAACAAAATTTCAGGCAAGGGGCATGTAGCTACATATCTTAATGATTAGAAACCATGACCAGGTTGGATTTATACCAAGAATGTGGGATTGCTCTAATATTAGAAAACTATAAATATAATAGATCATCTTAATAATGAAAACAATAATATCGCATGATTATGTAGGCACAGAAAAAGCTTTCCAAAATATAATGCTCCTTTATATTAAAAACATGGCAATACATCTACTAAAATGCAAAGATCTACTTAAGAGCAGAGGAAGAATAGAAGAATAATAGTAGTTAGTGATTGCCTTCCCAGGGGGTAATTAGAGCTGTTGGTTGATCTGATAACAATTAAGAAACCTATTATATTCTTGAGGGCATGTATCCAAGGTAATTCAGAGAATCTCCACTTATCAAAATGAGTAACAAATATCTATTTTTGGTGATTCATATGGACAGAATTAGTAGTACCAGAAGGCAACTAAGAAATATTGTCAATGCCTATGAACTCTTTGGCAAGAAACTGAATATTATAGGGTGTGGATTGTGTTTTCCTTACTGTTGCCTATTAAAGGAAAAGGGTGCAGAAGAGAAAATTGAATTTGGGAAGTGAACACCTGAGCAAGAATGGGGTATCTGAGATGGGATTTGGATTTCTGGATCACAGTTTATAATACAAGATTGAAAGATTTCTGACCAGAGGTAGAGTGCACCTAACCAAGGTTGGTAAGAATGTATTGGCCAGATAGCTTGTGAATCTAATCAAAAGGCTTGAAACTAAAAAGAATTGGAGGGGAGACTGCCTATTTATATTCTCTCTGTTAGCTAATGTACAGAGTAACCTCAAAGAAGGAAGAAGAATGGTGGCTGAGACACTCAATTTGCAAGAGACCAAAGATGTGGCCTTAAGTGCCTTTACTCGTAGGCTAATTCAAGGCCTAAGTCAATTTTTACTTCAAAGACGTAACGGAGTTAGTGGGAAGATACCCATTCCTGGACCATAGTTCAGAATGGCTATAATATTCAAGAGAAACAAGATAGATGGGGTGGGGTGGCATTGTATATTAGGAAGGTACACTCATGTGAGGAAATTTAGGAACCAGAGGGAGAAGCATGATGTCGAGTATTTGGGTGAAGGTCAGAGGAGGGACAGATAGAAGTGATTTTTATTGGAATCTGCTACAGACCACCTGTACAGAAAGAAGAACTAGATGAGGAATTTGTGAAGCAGGTTACAAGCCTGGCACAGAAGAATGGCGTAGTAGTGATGGGGTACTTCCATTACCCAGATATTTGTCTGGTGTACTCTTCTTTCCTCTCTCCACCTGTCCCTTTGTCTCCATGTCTCTTTTTCTCTCACTGTTTTTCTCTTTCTCTCCGCCGAAAGCAGAGCAGGTAATAACTTGATGCATCTTAGTGACAATTCCCTCCTTCAAAAGATAGCAAAGGGAAATTCTCTTCTGGACCTGATTTTCACTGTCAGGTAGGATTTGGTTTTGAGGGTAGAAGAGAACATTCCATTGTAGTGTTTGTGATAGGGGAAATGGAACCTGGGTGTTGAGGTTAGACATACACACTCAGTTTTATGAAAACTGACTCAGGGAGTTCAGAAGAAAGGTAATTATGATCCCATGCAATAATGTGTCTCAGGGGAGGTCAGCCCAAGAGAGATATGATTTGCTCTAGAAATTCTCAAGACTCAAAGGGAACCAATTTTGCTGAGGAGGAAAAGTGAGATTAATATGAAGAGACCAGTCTATATGCACAGAAAACCTGCACACCAATTTAGATTTTTAAAAATTTATTGCTTTTTAAAAAAAATAGCATTTATATAATTATCTCTGCTCCCACTCCCCTTTGTAACAAAAACGGTTAAGCAAGTGAAACTGACACACTTCCACATCCCAAAACCCCATCAACCTGTGAAAAAACATGTTTTATGAGTCTTCTGATTAATATTAGTTATTTACCTTAACCTGAATTTTTTTTTTAGTATTTTTCTTTCCATGAAACATGTCTCTTGATTCTGCTTTCTTCACTCTACATAAGTTCATACAAATCTTCCCTAGTTTCTGTTTCTTACGCAAAAAGAACCCACATGGGGCTTTCCCTCACCTCAATCCTTCTTTGACCTCATTTTGTTACATGCCTTATAGTAGACAGAGAGATGAATCAAAGGGTTCAAATAGTTTAGTGACTTTTCTCGAAAGTTCCAAATTGTTGTAATGGTTGGACCAGTGCAAGACTCCGCCACAAGTATGTATTAAGTGCTCCTGTCTTAAACAGCATCATTGCTTTTTTGTGTGTTTGCGATTTAATGTGAGTTGAAATCAGTATTGTTAAATGGTCATTTCTCGTAAGTGATTTCCTGCAATATTTTGTTTGTTAATAGCATTTCTTAATTCTGAAGATCATTTGTTCCTATCTTTTGAACACTTAGCTAGGAAATGGCTCTTATCTCATATTTTTGTATCAGTTTCCTATAGCTGATTTTATTCTGTTATTTAAGCTATTTTTCCCAATCTAGTTTCTTTTCATTTTGTTTGTACACACGTGTTTTCATTTTATACCTCTATCCTTTGGTTTATAATTCTCCTACTTATAACTGTGAAACTTTTCATTCTCCTGATCTCACACAATTATATGGGTGTTATTTTTTTTTAAATAGTAGGCTGAGAATCCATTTGGAACTTGTGGAAATAAATGCTGATCTAAACATTTTCTGCCAAACATATGATCAGTTTTCTTAGTAGTTTTTGTCAAATAAGGAGGGTCATGGTTTCAAAAATAGGTACTGAATGGATGGCCAGCATCAACTTTAAAAGTTATTACCAGAGTGGTGTTAAGGTGGGAATTGAAGCATCTCATTCCGGAAGTGAGAAAAGAAGTATAGCTGTGGAAATATATGTGGCAGCAATGGGCCTATATCATAAGACCTGGAAAGAAAGGTTCATTCTGGTTTTGAGAGTTTGGACTTAATGAAATGGTTTTGGAAAAATTATAATGCTCACTGTCCAGTTTCAAGTAGGATGCTTTCCACATCAAGCCTGCTGTTCTCAATATAGGGCTGGTACAACCATATAGATAAGAAGCTTAAAATGAGATACTGGTTTGGAGCATGGGTGAGCTCTTCCACAATGATGCATTTGAGGAGAATTTCCTTCTTGTACATTTCTGAAAGCTTATGGGAAACTTCACAGAAATAGGTAGTGGGCCATGTATGGAAAAGGGGTGTTTGATAATTTCCATTTCCATGATGGTAATTTTCTAGGTTACAAATTCCTTTAGTGGTTGATGTTAGCTTTTCCATTTTCACCTGTATGTTAGCTGTCCATGACTTTAGCGCCCATGATCCAGCCTGGCGCAGGCCGGAGAAAGTTCAAAGTAAAATCCCACCAATTTAGATTTTAAAAAGGCATGTACAGACGATAGAAGCAAGGCCAGCTAGCTGAGTGTGAACACAAGTGTGGCACACTCACACTGACACACAGTGTCAGGAATGCTAGGGCTCAGAATGAGCAAAGACTTTCAAAGGAAGTAAAGGGCAACAAAAAATGTTCTTACAAGAGTTATATTAAAAGAAGCATCAAAGAAAGGACAGGACCTTTGGCTGGGGTGGATGGGGGGGGCCATGACAACTGATAACAGACAAGGCAGAGATGCCTAATTCTGCTTCAGTTTCTGTTTCCCCTGCAAAGGGGAATTAGATTCATTAGGAATGACTGAATTGTTCAGCCCAGACCCACTGGGCATTAGTTGATGCCCAAGATAAGTAAGGAGATAGTAAGAGATTATTTAACAGATTATTCTAGTAATCTGGTCCAAATGATCTCCATCTTTGGGTCCTGAACAAAGCACCTAGCAGATGTGGTTGCTGAGCCACTGTCTGATTGACATTTAAACCCTCAATCACATAGAAAGATTGTCATACACTTGATCTCGCTGTTGCCCACAAACGTACCACCTGCAAGTTCTAGAATTCTAACATCCCCCTATCTGACCACTGGATGCTGACATTTCACTTCTTTCTCTCTTCTTTCCCTTACAAAACCCTACAAAACCTTAGTCCACACCATGGCCTTCAATCCCTTGGCCCTTCAAGTGCTTTCCAGGCCATCTCCCCTGCACTAGCCACTCTAGTTTTCTCCCCGTTTT